CATTCAGAGATTTTTTACTGTACTAACCACAGTAAAACTGTGTTTGTAAGTTTCATATACTGCCATAATCAAATAATTCAGCATATATTATCTTCCACAAACTTTTCAATTAACCTGTTTCTATGAGTGCTTCAAAATGGTTTTCTGTAATCTATGATATCCTGATGGGTTTAAATACCAAACTGTGTATGTCCTTTGATGTTATGAAAAAATGTCCACCACCACCATCATCATCATCATCATCATCATCATCATATTCTTCTTTTGTGGTATCCATTTTGACCTTTTTCAATACCTTTATAATCTTCCTGATTTTGTATACCCGTCTTTTTATGTTCTGGTCTCACATCACCTTTCTGCCAACATCCTGAGGACAGGCCAAATGTGCCAAAACACCACAGAGTATTACAAAATTTCAAAGATAATTTGTGAAATAATTTACTTTCCTTCGAGATTTTTAACAAATTCTGCATTTCCCATTGGTCCCATGCATGCTGAGAGTCAGGACAGCTAAGTCAGTAGTGATGGGCTATGGGCTGTACAGCCGGGGTTCAGTTTCCAGTAAAAGCAAGGTTCTTCTCTTCTCCACAGCACCCAGACTGGCACTGAGTCCCACGCAGCATCCTAGCCAATGGGTATACCCAGGGTTCTTTCTCTGGGAGTAATGCAGCTGGGGTGTGAAGATGACCACTCACCTTCATCTAGTGCCAAGGTCAAGAATGGTATAGCTCATTACCTCCACTCTCCTACATGTTTTCATGGCATAGTGCCTCATTAATTAAGCACTGGGACAATTTTACCTTTTTTATTCATGCATGCTAAATGCTCCACTGATTTCACTACATTGATTTGATTATGCTAATGGTGTTTGGTAAAGTGCACAAATTCTAAAGCTTGTTATGCACTTTTCTTCATTCTCTTTGTCACCTTTCTTTCAGATCCTAATATTCTGTTCAGCATTCTGTTCACAAACCCCTTCAATCAGTATTCTTCCCTGGTGATTACAGCAAAAGTTTCACACCCATTCTAATCCTTCCAACAGTGTCTCCAATCAAAATGGTATATGCACTTTCTTCGTGCATGTCACCTACCAACCTACTTAATTAATTATCTTAACAATGCTATAGTGACCTCAAAACAAGTGAAATCCACAAGAATTTTCACAATGACGAATAATTTTGAAGCCTGTTGCTATATAGTTTGGATACTAACAGTGTCATTCAACAGGCAACTAAAAAGGGCAAGCATCCACTTTTTAACTTCGGGCATAATACAGTACAATGCACTTGCCAACAGCACCACACATTTCATCTGTTCAGTCATGATACTCAGATTGGGGTTGGAGGAAGTTTATGAGTAGGTTATGCACTGGCATTAGACAAGCTAAAGCATGGTGATGCTTTTGTGTCTTCTTAAATAAGTAAAGGGATGATCATACTCGTACTTCAGTGTGTGGCTGATGCCATTCCATAATTTATTCATCAGCTTCTTTTATTTAGAGCATGATCTTTACAAATCATTCTGCTTAATTTTTCCACACACAATGTCAATAACTCAGTGTTCAACAACTCAATAACAACTAAAGTGTGAATAATCTCAAGTACAACAGGTTCAAACTTCTTGTTCTAGTGTCAAACCAGTCCACTGCTACCAGTCAGAATACAGTATTATTTAACAGCAGCAAACTGATTTTCAAGCATTCCAAGCATTTTTCAGAGAGAACAATGTTTCTACAAGAATATAAATTACCATTAAATATATACTGTATATGCGTGAATATAGGGCAACCTCCTATTTTCCTAATGAGAAAAACTGTTCTTAACAAAAACTGAATATGCCATTTAGTTCTGAGGGTTACTCCACATAATCATCTTCATATTTATTATTAAAAACCTGCCTATAAGTAATAACCTTTCTCTAAGAAGCAGTGTTTAAGATAGAAACCTTGCCTTATATTCTGCCTAATACAGTATATTGCAAGCATCCCATATATATGTGAACTCAATAAGCAAGGTATTTTAAGATCCTTTTGGAAATCTGTGTGTTATTTTCCAGTTTCTTCTATACTGTTCTAGACACATGACAATTTTACATTATAATTCTACATATATTTAACAATCTGCTATTATGTATTATTCATAAATTCTTCAACAGAGTACAAGGTCTGTAATAGGAAGAACTGTTTTAATACCAAATGAAATTCTGCCTGTAAACAGATTTTAATTCTCACTGTGAGCTTGATATACAATTAAGTCACAGCGTAATATACAGTACTGACAGATATGATAAACAACTGATCTCTGGAGATCATGTCTATGCTCAGAGGTCACTTTAGCACTCTACAAATTTGGATGAAAAGTTTAAGCAACAATAAATATTACTAAAACAACTGTAAACTCAGAAGTTTTAGTATGTAAAACATCTAAAAGACCTGAGCACCAGCCATAATTATGTTTATATTTTTTCTGAGTGTAACAAAGAATTACTTGAACAAAGAGAGCTAGACATTTTTCGGTGAGAAAAATATGCCTGAGCAGAAACAGACTGTCAGATGAGCTGAAGATAAAATTTGTTGGTTCCCTGTACTTGTAATGTTGAAGATATAGTTACGAAAAAAACTCTTAACAGCACCACATAAAGCTTCCTGACATGCCTGTCTATTTTTGGATGCAATGACAACGTATTAATTTGGCCACGTGTTTCTTAAAGTATGTGAAGTGGCAAATATGACCTTAGCATAGACCTAGCCTTCCTTATACTTTATCATTTACACGCAACAAACCTTCAGCACGAACAATATGACTAAAGTTATAGAGGAAAGCAGTAACTTCTAATACCAGCAACTATGTGAAGTAATCCAACTCAGATGTCTATTCTTAGCCAATATGCACATCCCTGCCCCGCCCCTTTAATGCAAGACACAATTGGCAACTTACGAACCACAAATCATGCAACAGCTAAGGGTAACTCACCCGTATTTATTGAGTACTCCTAAGGTATGATTCACTTCTGCCAAATAAGGTCCTTGAATCCAAAAGTATTTTCCCCTTATTAACTGTGTACGTCAACGACAGGATGTATTCCACGTGTAGAACTGAAACAAGACCAACTTCTATTCCTACTACGCGTTACACAACTCACTTCACAGCGCTTCACAGATTAGACCAAAATCCTGTTGTAATAGATACTAATACGTCATCAGTCATGTTCATAAACAGGTTTTAGTTTATGGTAGCAGTTACACATCTCTTTAAAATTAATGAACGAGCCCACAGAGAGGGCATTTAAATTAAGCACTTTCGGTTGCAATTAAATTACAAATGTGATTAATGAGTGAGATAAGTAGTTATGCAACAGCCACGAACTTCATAATCCAGCAGTTAAATTTAAAATATATTTGCTACGTAACAATTCAACGATATTGCTGCAGATATTTTTTTTTCTGTGGCGCTACAGCCCCAATTTGGGCCTAGGCCTACCTCCATGAAACTCTCCGTTTCACTTCGGTTTACTAGATCTTACACATTCGGTAGGACTCCTTGGGCGAGTGATCAGCTCGTCGCAAGGCCTCTACCTGTAGACAAACACAGAAAAACGCACACAAACATCCATGCCCTGAGTGGGATTCGAACCCACGATCCCGCTTCACCCGCGTGAATTTATTTGTCGCCTTACATAGGCAACATGCGACAAAATTACATAAAACAGATTATAGAGGACGGAAAATAACGAACTTTAGAAAGCAATTTAGCCTTTTCATACTCTGAAATAGCTTTCCACCAAATTACTACGATTAAATAATAGCAAACTTTGGGTAAGAGAGCATATCCAAAACATTTGACACAGTGATTACAGAGCTCTTACTAATTTACACATTAGAGTACTTGTAGATTACAAAAGTACTAACTTTCAAAGTCTCTTTGTTGTCAGAACTGTAGAAAAGATCTGATATTAATTACCTAAGAAGTGATTTACTCATTGAACAAATATTTATATAACAGATAAGTTGGCCAGAACATGTGGCACATTAAAGAGAAATTTTGTCGTAACGACGACCATAAAACATAGTTTAAATATTCTATATTAGAATTACCTAGTTTGCTATAGGAAGTTTGTTTTAGTAAATTAAAAACAAGAGACAAACGTAAAACGCATATGTACGCATACGTACGATACACTTCGTAATAGTAAGCATGTAGATAATAAAAATTGAAAATACAACCAGTGTAACATAAAATAGAAGAATACTGANAAGCACTAGATTGTACAGTACGAATGAGACGGACGCCGTGAAGATCCGTGATCGAGGAAGGTGGAACGACTATGTGAAGTCAGAACAGCGTGGATTGTTTGTTGTGGAGAAGAGGAAGAGGAAGAGGAAGAGGAAGAAGAAGAAGATATTAACTTCTTCTGAAAGCACTCGCGGTCGACAGTGGCGTAGTAAAGTTTTTACTCTGCAGGTGACACTGTAGTTCGGTGGAGTTCAACACAGAAACAAAAGAACAAGGGCGGTGAGGGGTGAAGAAGAAAAGTAGGAGGAAGTAAACGCTGCATATCCCAGCTGTTTGGATTATTAAGGTGGATGAGGGCTGATAGTGAATATTCTGTTTTGTCTTAAGTTTTGCATGTTTGAATCTATTTACATGAAGTAGATGTTGTAGACTTTACGTGATAGAAGTTCCAATAAATAATTTATGTTGCTTAGACTCGGCAGGAAAGAAGAAAGTGATTACACAGGTACGACGTATTGCAGCAGTTAGGTCTGGAGCTACATAATTAGAATACAAAGATCTATCGCGTGCGTTGCCTTTTAGACAACACTGGGGGGGTCAGCATTTACGTCGTATCAGTGTTAAGCGTAACGGCGAATTGTATTATATTTACACTGCACAATTGCACATTTTGAGGCCAAATTAAAATGGCCCAGCAGCCCACAAGTAGTGCCCTTCGTGCCCTCGCGTTGGAGTATAAGAGTTTGCAAGAAGAACCAGTAGAAGGATTTCGTGTGAAACTTGTTAACGAAGACAATTTATTTGAGTGGGAAGTGGCGATTTTTGGACCTCCAGATACCTTGTACCAGGGTGGATATTTCAAGGTGAGTTGCAGGAAGAGATAAGTCATACCTACTTTGCTACCCAAGACGTTTCGTTGTTTATGCGAACATTGATATATTGCCCACATGTGTATCTGATACATTGGGAGGTGAAACTCTGTTATGCCTCATTTGAAGAATACAAGACAAAATCATGATGCAAGAAATTCTGATATGTGCTTTGAAAATGTCAGCAGTTCACATGCATAAATGTAACTAAGAAATACAAAATATCCTGCTGATCAATTTGGAGCGTGGAGAATAACGCAGGCCTTCATTCTGGAGGCGTTTCTTTTCATAAAACAAATCAAAATATATAAAATTTCAGTTTCAGAGTGAGAGATTTGATGTACTCATGGCAGTGATTATGAAGGTTATGTCTTTGGGGCTGCTTGATTTAGTTTAATAGATAGCTACTAATATTTTGAATGAACATGCTGCCCTCATCTTCCAGGTTGATCCTAATGATGGAGGCAGCAGGTTACTCCAAAATGTTACTTCCTTCGAAGCAACGCATATGCGGCATTATCTTCAGGTTAGACCCTGAAGATCAGAGGGTTTCTCAGAAACCAGCCAAACTACATGACATTACAGATAGGAAACAAGAGAACAGTAATCTATACAATTTCTCCAATTTTTTTATGGGTGTTTAATTCTGTTTTTACTGTGGGGGAACCAGAGTTTGATAACAAAGGCACATCTTTACAATATGGTGATTTATTTTATTAAGTGAGTTGGAACTGTGTCTCTGTTTTTAGGGCTAGTGACTAAATGAAAGAGATTTAGGTTAGAATTCTTTTTTACATCCCCAAAGTGGAAAGGAAACCTGTGCACCTTACTGTGTAGTCGTTTGAAGAATAAAATGTGATGACTGATATGAACCTTTGGGATGTGTATTTTCTCTCAGTTGAATAACATTTGACATCAGTAAGCAAGTTCTGTAGTTACCAAGGGATGCAAGCTCTTTCATCAGTTGCAGCCAAATCTTACAGTATGAATATTACATATAAATCAGAAACAAAATTCTTAGGAATACACATCAGTGAGAATATGAAAGGGATGCACATGTAAGGTAACTTTGTTCCAGACTCAGTAAATTTTATTATGTGATTAAATCTCTTCAGGCTGTAGCAAGCCCACATGTTATAAGGAATATTTACTTTTCATATTTTTGTGCTCAATTGAGGTACAGTTTAATTTTCTGTGGTGGGGACTCGAAAAGTAAAAGTATTTCAAAATTACAAAAGCTGGGTATACTAATAATCAGTTGTGTGAGGAGATATAAGCCATGTAGGCAACATTTTAAGGTTAAACATATGCTGCCAATACCTTGCATGTATATATCAACAAGTAGTTCTGCGAAGAATTTATCACCTACATTCCTTTGATATGACATGGAACACATAGAAAATGACGTGTTCAATAATCCTTCTATTATGTGTGCTGCAGGAATGTGCTTACTGAGCCATTGCCTAGCAACTGAGCACACAGACACAGAAAGGTGATACATAAGCCTATTATATTTTTGCAAAAAGTAAGACTAAAAGTAGTATACCACATATAACTACATGTAGAGAAATTGGAACAAAATGCTGTAGTTCATTAACATAACACATTGCAAAAGTTGAACCTCCATGTTTTGTTTTACAGAACAGATGCTTTTAAGTAAGGTGTAATTAATATGGGAATTAAACTGTGTAGTAAATTACCAAATAAATTATGGAAGTGGAAAAAATAAGGCAGTTTAAAAAGAGGACTGAGATCGTGCCTATTACAGCAGACATACGATGGGGTACCCAAAAGAAACCGAACTAATTTTTTTGTGGGCAGAGCTTTTGTAGTACCGCGTTTTGCCGGTATGAGCGCATAGAGCTAACATTCCTGAGTCGATAAGCCGACTACTGTTGCTTCAGAAGGTAAGGACTAGTTTCGGCAGAGTTTATAGTGACAGCTGTTTTGTGTGATCGTCGTTTTTGCAATGGCCCGAACACATGAAAATGTTGAAAAAATTCGTGAAATCATCAAGGAAGATCGACGACGGACCATTGAAGAAATTGTGGAGCTGTCGGGAGTGACTTGGAGCTCAGCGGCCAGATTTGTGGCAGTCAGGTGACTGGTTTTTCCATCATGACAATGCCCCTGCTCACACAGTCCTGTCTGTACGACAGTTCTTGACCAAAAATGGTATGACCCCTGCTCCTCACCCGACCTTGCCCCGTGCGACCTTTTTTTGTTTCCTCGAATGAAAAGAGACATGAAAGGAAAAAACGATGGAGGCACTGTCAAGCATCTCAAAAGATGAATTTAGACAATGTTTTGAAAAATGGAATAAAAGACTAGACAAGTGTATTAGTGTAAGTGGAGAGTACTTTGAAGGGGATTGAAGGTTTGTGCATAAAATTTGAATAAATAAGTTTAAAAAAAAGTAAGTTTGGTTTCTTTTGGGTACCCCCTTGTATATGTATATGTTTTGTTAATGAGCAGAATATGATATCTGAATTGTTTTTATGAATTGTATCTGATATTGCATGGTTCCGTGAAGAAATTTAGTTGTGTCAGTAGTTTGACTAAAAAGGATGAATAAAATGCAATAGAACAGAACTGGATTGGATTGAATATGAAAATATTGCCACTAGAACCTTGGTAATGGCCACTGATTTACAGACTTTTACAGACAAGGGTAGAAGTTTTAAGACTGGCAATACATGAACTGTACATGGAAGTAAATGCATTTTCACTTATGTTCAAGTAGTGGAACATGAATGCATAGAATAGAGTAAGAAATCATGACCCTTAATCTAACTGATCTCTTAACATTCATTAGGATACTAGTGTCAGAATATCAATGGAAGTTAATTTATTTAAAAGCTCTTGGGTTTTGCGAGGTTCTCACAGTGGGGACTAAGGAAGGTACTATGTTCTGGGATGTGATGCCTTGTAGTCTGATATTTACCTCTACCAGACTACACAACATTATATGCTGGAAGATAGTACTCTTTCCTTTGGTCTAATCTATCTTCAGGGGGCAAGTGAATGTAAAAAATGGATAAAGGTGTTGGATGGACATACTAGGGTTACTGTGGTGTTTATACAGTACAAGTGATAAATGAGGAAAGTGTGGTTTATTCTAAAATTGATAAATGTAGTGATTTCACTTACATATTGCTTTTTTTTTAGGTCAAGATCTTGTCTATTGTTTTTTGTTGTACTACAGTGTTAATGCTCTTCGCAGGAAGGGCTTTTTGTTAACAGACAAGAGTGCAGTCATAGCAGTAACATATTGAAAGGTAACAGCTTGATTTGCACCTGATCTTGACTGAGATGGTTTGTGGTTTTCCCTCTTTCTTTACAGTAATGCTATCTTGTGTGTTCTGAGACTTGCAGGGTAACTGACCTCACCACATTACATTACAGTCAGACCAGTTTCAGATAAATGGAGGAATCACTCGTTTCTATTTATAAATAGACTTCATCATCCCATCTTGAACATTTTATGTGCCTGGGTGTTTGCTAAGGAATGTATAGATTATTGTATGTGTACCTGTTGGCTGCTAAGGGAAGATCTTGTAGTTGATTAATTAGCAAATATCACATGTTTAAGCACATGCCCTCTCATATTTCTTTCCGTGGAGCATAGTTATTCTTGAGAAGCAGATTTTCACTCAGCTGGTCAAACAATTTCTTGCTTTTATGGAATTCAGAAGTTCATTATTATGTTCATGACAGCCTGCTACTGAATCCTGTGGTGAGCCTGGTGAATCAAATCCATTTTCTCACCCTTTATGTGTTTAAGATATTTTCATATTCACCAGTCTGTACCCTAAAGTGGCCTCTTCCTTCTGGTTCTGTAACCAAAATTTTCTTTGTTCCCTTGTATGCTACCTGCTCAGCATATTTGGAGTACATATATTGTATAATCAAAATTTAATAATGTATATGCCTTTTAGTCACATACACTGATACCCACAGTAGCATAGTTGGTTGAGGCACTCTGCCACAAGCCGGAAGGTCGCGGGATGAAATCCTGATGAGGTTGATTTTTTCAATTTACCTAATCCTTCCAGCCCCACTATGATCCTCCGGTCGACTCAGCCTCTAACAGAAATGAGTACCAGGAATATTCTTTGGGGAAAGGGCGGCCGGTGTGTAAGGCTGACAACCTTACTACCATATATGAGCCAATTGTCTGGAAAATGTGGGAATCTCAACATCTCACAACCCTATGGGCCTCCACAGCCTGTTACAGGGATACCTTTACTTTTTTACTTACACTGATACCATTGTATAGCAACTGAAATGTTAGTCTTCTCTATCTGCTTCTATACATTTTTATTTAGGAGGGAATGATTGAAAGTTCTGAATGTAACTTCATGTTAAGAAGATCGGTCCATTATCGATTAATTGTAAACTGAAAGATAATGGCATATGTAGAACTCCAGCATATACTCTTTTGCAGTGTATTTATTTATTTATTTCATCTCTATAGATCATTGTTACATGATATAGGACAAGTCAATTACTGTACATTGGCTGATTACAATAAGAGAATAAAGTTACAATATTTAAAATTGTTTACAATAGATTACAATAGTTAGATTTCACATAGTGTGAGGTGGAATCCATATTAGGTCCCCTCGGCACGTCGGCTTCCATATGTCCCATTGTACCTGTACTGGTGATAATGCTTATGGAGAATTTGATGGAATGAGGATTGGCAGGGGAAACCAAAGTACTCGGGGAAAACCTGCCCCAGCGCCACTTTGTCCATCACAAATCCCACTTGACTAGACCGCAGCGGTGGGAAGCCAGTGACTAACCGTTTAAGCTATGGCGCGGCCTTTGAGATAATATTGGTGAATTTGGTGATAGCACTGGTATAACGTTTCACTGTAGACTCTACACTGCAACATCTCAATACACCTGTTCTCCCTTCCTGGTGCAGCTTCTTGGCATCTGGAATCTCTCCAGAATAGCCCATTCAGGTATAACTCTGACTGTGTTATCTTGGTTGCTGGAAGAAAGAAAGGAAAACTGCGCAGTAGGGATTCCCAAAACCGATTATTCATGAATTATGTGATTAATATATGTAATGATTTGAAAATTTGTTTACAACTAGTCGTTTTTGGGACCTGGGTCATAGCTCTTATAGCTCTCTTCTGTAATTTAAAGATCAATTTTGCATTTATCGAGTTGCCCCAGAATATCAGTCCGTATGATAACAAAGATTGGAAATGAGCATAATATAACGTGCGGACAGTCTCTAGTCCAGTTACTCTTCTAACTACCCTTAGGCCAAAACATACTTTACATAAGTTGTTCGCTAGCTTTTGCATATGCATAGTCCATCTTAGATGCTTATCTAGCCAAACTCCCAAAAATTTTGAGTGATTTGTGTAGTTGATAACAGTGTCATTAATCTTTATTGGAGGTCATTCAAGTTTTAGTTTTTGAGGATGATGGAAGGCTATTGCTGTTGTTTTCTCTTTATTAATAGTTAATCGATTCCTCTCACTCTGTGATTTTGTTTATTGTTTC